GCTGCAATTTCAATAAATGAACAAAGCACATGTGGTTTATCGTATATCGTCACAAAAACGTGTTAAGAAGGTTAGATTTTTAAACAGTAATAAAAAAACAAATCTCCATTCTCACAAACCAACCTGTAGATTCACTGTTCCGCCTCGTGACATTTTTCATCGGAAAATTCTCCTCCATTTTCCGGCAAAACACTCACTCACATTATCAAATCACTTCGCACGTTGAATTCGAATTTCTTTTATTAGAATCCGACATGCAAATAGTACGCTGTCTTATCTCCATTCACTTCAGCTGAATAATAATCAACGGATATTAGGTTTCAATTATAACGAATATAATGAATGAAGGAAGGCTGATATGGAAACCAAAATAAAAACATAAATTAAACACCGTCGAGTATACTAGTGGTGCGACAAAATTATAACACGTTTTCACGATTGTTTTCAAAAAAACAAGAATTGCGACTAAGGCTCAGCGGCGTAGGTGATAATTTTCCTGTGGGGTATTCATTAACAGGGTTTTTCCTAGGTAGTGTACGAAACTCCAGAGGGTGATTCGTTGGGTAGTTTGAAGAAAAAAGTTTTAATGAACATATGTCCGGAATTGCTTCGTTTCTGAGGTACAGGGCGTTGAAGTTTAAAAAAACTGTTTTTATATAATATCATAAATATTCTTACACCGATTTGGTTACAATTTGCTACAGTCATTTGAAGTAATAAGGCACTTATTCAGCCAACAATATTGGGAAAAAAAGTATGTCACTAACTTGTTGTTTTATTCTTTCATTTTATTTTATACATCACCTGAAATACAACATTTTCATCGCTTGTATTTTCTCCATATCTAGCTTCGTTTTCAAGAAAAAAAATTGGAGCCACTTTGCATATCATGATTAACTGCTTTGGATATCAGCTGACAGTGATGGTGTTTTCATATCAGTGAAAGTCAGAGTTGTCAATTAGTAGTGATTCCATCATGAATAATTTTACTAACGCATGGCTGACATGCAGTCTATTTATGGATTAGCAAATGTAAACGCGAAAGAAGCACGGATAATACAACAGGACAGATAACTTAACAGAGTAATTCCATGTGTTACATGCAAAATTATGTGAAACTGTAAGTTTTGAAAAAATGCAGGTGTTGAAAGACCAGAAACTGTATCAACGCCTGAACTAGAAAAAACTTACTTGATGCGATTGAAGAAGATCCTTCAGTATCACCAGGAAGATTGCACTGCAGCTGGAAGTCATCCCAAATACCGAATGGACAGTTCTAAAAAGAAACCTCCTATACCCTTATCACATACTGCGGGTCCAAGCTACCGTAGGACCCCAAAATTGGCCAGCTCGTAGTCCTGAAATGAATCCTGATTTATATTTATGAGGTCATCGGAAGGCTCTTGTTTATGAAACTCCTGTACTAGATGTGAATGACTTATGGAATCGAATAATTGACAATTGCAATGTCATAAAGAATACTCCAGGTATTTTTGAAAGTGTCAGACAATCAATCACAAATCAACTGCAGTCGTGTATTTCACCAGGAGGTGGCCATTCTGCTCATTTACTTCAAGGTCAGAATTGTTCATTATTTACTTCTGGTTTTTATTTTATGTTGTCCATTAATAGTTTTTAGAAATGATTTTTTTCTCGTAAGCGATATAAGAAAACACAAGCAACGAAAAAGTTGTATTTTCAGTTGCTTCATCCAAAAAAATTAAAAACTACAAAAAAGTCAGTGGCGTTATTTTTTTCTCAATATTGTTGGGTGTGGTGCCACTGAGACGCCACTGGATCTAATATTTTTAATGTAATTCCGGCTAAATAAGCGCCTTATTACATCAAATAACTATAGCAAATTTCAACCAAATCGGTGTAAGGATATTTATGATATTTTATAAATACTTATTTACTGATTCTGAAAAAAATAATGACGAGGGGTGATTTTTTTTCAAATAATTCCATTATTTTCCATGCACGATTATTTTCCATGTTCAAAAAATAAGGTGAATTCAATTTGAAAACCAATTGATGAGATTTCTTCCAATGCTGATGTACAGAATTGGATTATTCTTACTGCAAGTTTCTCAAATAACATGATGTTAGTACTTCGTTGAAGACCGGTTTCTGGAATTTGTTCAACCAATTATTAGGAGTCAATAAAAAACTGTAGGACTATAGGCAACCCTCGATTTTGCTCAACTAAAATTGGTACTATCACTACAAACTGCCAAATAAAACTTGCAATCCAATTTAGTTATGAAACATCACAAAGACAACGTTATTACAGTACTGGCTCTTACGTCGCCTCGTCTGTAGAACAGCTCGTACTGTAATAAGTCAAACTCCGGACTCGTAACGTAAAATAATATCACAGGGCTGGTTCGCAACAATTACCTTTCAAGCAAAACCATGACCTACCGTTCCAGTCGTTCTCATTCCCTCTAAACTCTGAGACTACCAAAGCTGCAATCGCAGGATGTGTCGGAGCGTAAGCTAGAGCACCAGCCATGCCTATCGCTAAGCTGGACCAAATCTTCTTGGACACGTCTCTGAACTCCACGAAGCAGATAATATCCTTCTTGGTGTCCTCCGGGTTTTTTTCGTAATGGAAGTTATAGAAAGACGAGTTCTTGCTATAGTAGAACATGACTAGCGTGATGGAGGTTATCAGAGTGCCGAAGAGAAAGTACACGAGAGCCGATGCTTTTGATGAAGTACCAACTGCAAGGGAGAGCACCTGGAGGGATGACGTGAAGATACCTCCAACGCCCTGACCCACTAGGAACGTTTTTAAGTAAGCTGGAGGTAGCTTGGAGACGAGGGCTAGAGTGCTCACTTGGAAAAGGGCCATTATTCCTGAAAATATTCAGGTTTAAATATACAGGGCGTGCGATGGAAAAGAAACGAGGTCAATTCAGTAGATATACTATGGTGGTTCTAGCTCAAAATTCCTTTTTTTATCCTTATGACGCTTAATTCCATCCATTTCAAGGTCATTGGAACTGGTCGGCGAGGAAGATCCTAGCCAGTAGGATGAAGTGAGTAAATATCATTTAGGTGGTCGTTCTAGATAAAATTGAACTCGGAGATGACGGTTGAATACTATTGATGATGATAATAATTAAAAAACATGAAAAAAAAAGAACACTAAGACCTGAAACGTCGTATTTTCACTAAAAAAAAGTCGCATCGTCACGTGCAGCAAGTCAAATGAATGTGAAAGGAATACAGGATTCATCTACAAAGGAAAAACAAAGTTGGCGCAACATGTCAGAAGCTAGAATCAGCATAAAATATGTACCCAATTTCCCGTAGTTGATGTTCAGATCAAATTGCTTAAAGGCTATAGTTTTATGTTGAAGGGGAAATCTCTTGATAATATTTTCAACCTTGATACTTCAACCCCTTCCATGGGGTACGATTCAACCCTTAAATCTATAATGGAATCAGAGGTCATGTGATGCCTGTCAATACGAAGGGGTTTACTTTTTATCAATTTCCAAACGGACCTAAATTCTTGAATACCATTTTTGTGTAAAAAGGGTCATTCTTTCTAAGCACAGCTCTGAAGTTTTTACAGATTTGAAAATTATTGATTGACAAATTATATTATTCAGTATATATTTTTAAAACGAACAATGTGTGTTTTCCCATTGACCCACTACAATAAATGTTCCAAATATTTTTTTAATTTTATGAATATTGTGTTCCGTTATTCATAACATGATTTATAGACATGTTCTGCCTATGTAAAATATAAGTGTGAATAGAAATATTACTGTACCATTCATTATCGCCAAAATCAGCATCGTGAGAGCGAAAAACCCCGTTTGCCCTAAAAAAAATCATAAATCTTCCATAACTTGTTCCGTGTGAGTACATTTGATGTAGTCAGGTTCTATAAACTGATTTGAATTGCTTTCAATGAATGAATGAACAAACTTGTCTATGAAAAACCCATTTGTACTTCAACTCACACTCGTCAGTATCAACATTGATGAATATGGTCGATACGGCCAAACTGGCAGCTAATATAAATAGCGAAGCTAAAATCCTCGTCCTCAGCTTCATTTTATATCCGAATACGGTTGCCAGGACCATGCAGACTACTGACGGTACCGTAGAAGCTATATTGGAACCTGAAGCAAAATTTGACTGGAGATCGGATCTGTCGTTCGTGTTGTTCGAAGAGATGGATCGAAATTTATACATCCAATACTGAAAAAGAAATCAGACATTTAGGTCGTTGTGGTGTTAAAAACGTGTTGAAGCTCCATCTCAATGAATATTCATTCTACTGTATCGTTTTACATACTGATCGGTAGAGAATTTTATACTCTGTGCATTGATACTGTTCAATTTTTTGCCACTTTCCAGCTTATCACTTTATAACATCGTTACGCGATTCTTGAACAATTTTTCTATACGAATACAATACACTGCGACCCGCGATCGCAATATGTCACAGAAAGAAGCGAGAGGGTATTAGTTAGGTAGCTACTTAGTTCTAGTAAACAGCTCAATCATAGATAGCAACGCCACCTCTTAGCAACAAGTGGAAACACCCTATTATTTTTGTTGAGAACAATGTAATGTTCCACGCGCAACGACTCTAGAATAAAACCTTCCTTATCGATATAAAAGGAGTGCGTCGGCGCGACGTGAGTCTGTTGAGTCGAGTAGGCGAAGCGATACGGTCGGAGAAGGATTCTAGTTGTTCTGCGAAGTAGTGATTGTGAAGTCTAGTGAATGTGAAGGTATTGTTTATTCCACGACAACGCCTGTCCGCATGTCTCACTAATCACGGTCTGAAAATTAAACGAATTTGACCGTTTTGCTTCACCCACTATACTCCCCAAACCTCTCACCAACGACTACCATACTTTTAAGTACTTCGATAACTTTCTCTTCGGTAGAACCTTCGCCAATCAGGACCAGGCCTTCGTCGACTTCACCGAATCCCGAGCAAACAATTTTAATGCGGACGGAATTGATCGACTTGTGATATGTTGAGGAAAGTGCACCGAATCAAATGAACGATTGAATTGAACAAGTATTCACTGAGATATTGCAGTTGAAGTCGACTCATAAAATTTGACTTTCTGGTATCAAAGCCTACTTCCTTAGAGATGAAAAATAACCAAGAAATAATACTTACCTGTGCGAATTATCTGTCAAATAAAATGTTTCGATGTACCTGTCGAAGATACTCACGTCATTTGCTGTCACAAAAAAAGTTGTTGGTAGCAGATGCATTATTCCAAGTAACAAAAATAATAAATGGACTAGAAGAAATGTGTCTGGAGGCCCGATTTCGATAACTCTGTGATTTCTTTCTTCTGTGTTGATTCTTTTGGAATCTGAAATTCAAGACTGAAATTAAATTGGAAAATTTCAACGTCAACAGTTAACATATCCTTGAGGTGAAGTCTACACTTGAAAAATATCGATCGTACCAGGGGCGTATACACGGGGGCAACAGGGGTATTACATTTGATTTGTGAAAGTATTCGAATCCCATGTTCAAATACCCCCCCCCCCTTGATGAGAAATTATTTATGTCATTGGTCTATCGTTCGCAGGTTTGAGAACTAGAGATTGGACTTACGCATACAGTGTTTAATGTTCCGCCCAGTCGCCATCTTGAAAGTTTCATTTGTCAATTTCACTTCCAAATAAAGTATTCATGCATTAAATTCATTATCCCAAATTTCAATTTTTAGAGTTGACCCGTTCAAAAAATAAAGGGGGGGGTACATTAAAGAAATGACCTGTATACTAAAAGATAATATTGAAAAATTCAAAAAGGGTCCCATCCCGTCATCCCTTCAACAAAGGAGGGACCCTTGAATATAAAATTCAATCGGTGTTCATGAAATTCCGAATTTAACAGTATTTTTTCTTCTATAAATTTAGGACAGTAGTATAAATATATTACGAAAAAAATTAAGAAATCGAGCGAGGCATTTTTTTATTCGACCTCAAAGTTTTGAAACAACAAAGATTTTTTGTAAAATCTCTGGATATTCGAGAAACCGAGCTATCACCACCACTGTTCCAGAATTCAGTATCAAAAATTTAAATATTTCCGAAACTATCGGAGCTACTACCTACAAAATAAGCTAACAACATTTTTCTTCATCTGAATCTATTTTTCTGATTGATTCGGCCATTAATTGATGAAGATCCATAGTAATTTCATAAACTACGTCTGACGATTTGATCTCCACAAACTTTATTTGAAAAATATATCACATGTTTATGAAAAAAAAAAAATTAAAATGTTTTTCAGAAAGGTGTGACGATTTTCAATCGTAGAAGTCACCGTAAGATTATTATTATTATATAAATATGCTGTCTGTTCAAAAAATAAGGTGAATTTTCATTTTTCCCAAAACTTATTTAGTAATTCATTAATTTCCTTGAAGCAGTTCTGATAATACGCACTATCTCCTAAATCATTGGAAAACGCTGTTCGTTCATGGGTCTTTCCAATCGTTGGAGCAAGAAGAAGTCACAGGGGGACAAATCTGGTGCATATGCTGGATAAGGCACGGTTACGGTGTTGTTTTCCGCCAAAAAATTGCTTTTCCACAATACCACAATATTTTTAAATTCATAAAATCCGCAGGAACACACTATATAAATATATTTTAATCAAGTTTCCAATGAGTAGAAGGTTATGAAAAACTAGCATACATATCGTTTCCCCGCTCTGATTTTATACAATATAAAAAACAAAAGTTTGAAAAAAAAACATCAAAATCGAAGCTCTTTTTGAGAACACTCGAAAATTGATTGTTTTGCTTATTACGCGACTAATAAAAGTTTTAATAACAGAGCTGATTAGATATTCATTTAACCAAATTGTTCCTTGATAATATTTCATTGATTTGTTTTGTAGATTCATCAGTAGATAATTGAACAAATAAATATCTAAAAATAGTTCTGCTGCAATTTCAATAAATGAACAAAGCACATGTGGTTTATCGTATATCGTCACAAAAACGTGTTAAGAAGGTTAGATTTTTAAACAGTAATAAAAAAACAAATCTCCATTCTCACAAACCAACCTGTAGATTCACTGTTCCGCCTCGTGACATTTTTCATCGGAAAATTCTCCTCCATTTTCCGGCAAAACACTCACTCACATTATCAAATCACTTCGCACGTTGAATTCGAATTTCTTTTATTAGAATCCGACATGCAAATAGTACGCTGTCTTATCTCCATTCACTTCAGCTGAATAATAATCAACGGATATTAGGTTTCAATTATAACGAATATAATGAATGAACGAAGGCTAATGTGGAAACCAAAATAAAAACATAAATTAAACACCGTCAAGTATACTGGTGGTGCGACAAAATTGTAACACGTTTTCACGATTGTTTACAAAAAAACAAGAATTGCGACTAAGGCTCAGCGGCGTAGGTGATAATTTTCCTGTGGGGTATTCATAAACTGGGTTTTTCCTAGCTAGGGTACAAATGGACAGTTCTAAAAAGAAACCTCCTATACCCTTATCACATACTGTGGGTCCAAGCTACCCTAATCGCTGGATTGGACGTGTAGGACCCCAAAATTGGCCAGCTCGTAGTCCTGATATGAATCCTCTAGATTTATATTTATGAGGTTATCGGGAGGCTCTTGTTTATGAAACTCCTGTACTAGATGTGAATGACTTATGGAATCAAATAATTGACAATTGCAATGTCATAAGGTCCAGGTATTTTTGAAAGTGTCAGACAATCAATCACAAATCAACTGTAGTCGTGTATTTCACCAGGAGGTGGCCATTCTACTCATTTACTTCAAGGTCAGAATTGTTCATTATTTACTTCTGGTTTTTATTTTATGTTGTCCACGGATAGTTTTCAGAAGTGATTTTTTTTCTCGTAAGCGATAGAAGAAAACACAAGGAACGATAAAGTTGTATTTTCAGTTGCTTCGTCTAAAAAAAATAAAAACTACAAAAAAGTCAGTGGCGTTATTTTTTTCTCGATATTGTTGGGTGTGGTGCCACTGAGACGCCACTGGATCTAATAATTTTAATGTAATTCCGGCTAAAAGCGCCTTATTACATCAAATAACTGTAGCAAATTTCAACCAAATCGGTGTAAGGATATTTTTGATATTTTATAAATACCGTTTTTTTTTAATCTCAACGCCCTGTATGAAGTATTCCCGGGCATATGTTCATAGAAACGTTTTTCTTGAAACGACCTAACGAATCATTCTATGAAGTTTCGTACCGTAGTTAGGAAACACCCTGTGTATCATAAAAAATCCCGTGAGGCGGAAATTTGATCTGACAACAGTAATAAAACAAGTTGACTTCATTTTGGGGATTTCAGAGACAGAGGCAGATTAATATGGTGGCAAGGGGGGCATTATCCCCTCTCCAACAATTTCAAACAGTTGAAATATTTTCTCTTATCCATGAATTATTTATCTTTTGTACAGCATTCTGGATATTGTCTGTTTGATTAGCTCAATTAGTGACTTAAATGTTTGTATTACACTTCATGAAGAGCTGGCAACACTGGAGTTGTAGTACTCTAGAAATGGTCTCAACCTCATCATTTCCAAATGTAACATAACCTGAAAATTTTGGATTACTCAACAAATAGTGCTGTCCTCGAAAGAAGCATGACATGCAAAGGCTTGGGGGTCATATTCGACACTGACTTTAGCTTGAATGAAAACATCAACGAAGAAAACATCTCTAGCATAGATTTAGCGCTTCCAGGATGACCGTGAAGACACTGAAAATGACGACGTTCTAGACACCTCAGCACATGAACAACCAATGAGAGCGTAAAAAATGTGAATTGGTAGAAATTGTCATGGACGATCACTGAATCAAAATACCAGAAGTCGCTGATAATATTGGCATATTGATTGGAGGATTACCTGCAAATTCAACGCCATTTTTGTGTTAAATTCGAAAAAAATCCCGGATGTTTGGCCAAAAACAATACTGTAACGATGTCCCAGTCTCTATATTCACCAGACATGGCTCAGTGTGACTTTTTTCTATTCCCAACAATAAAGAGAACCTTGTTTAGTACATTCATTAGAAGCAAATTGGAATATATAGCGCTAATTTTGTCACCACTTTGCCAAAATACAATTGTAACTCTCTATAGTATGTCCAGATGTTAGATAATGGATAGAATACAGCAGTGAAAAGTTTATTTTTGACAAAAACGACTATTCTCTTAGAGTTTTATGAAGCAGAGGCCAATTTAATGAATGCTTTTTGACTTGTGAAAACTTTTTACGAACCATTTCCAAGTACTTACTGTCTTTACATTTGCAATTCACTGTTCGTCATTTTTTGATGAAAGACATCAACAAACTTTTTTGAAATAAGAAACAACTATTCGGAAATGTCACTTTATTAACATCATCAACATATTAGGAAATTCTTTTATTCTCAATCTGGTGCAGAGGTACACATATAGATATATAATTATTCATGCAAGACCCTTATTCGTGAATTAGCGGCCATCGCGATACATCTTCTGGGTCTCTTCGGACCCGATGATTGCATTGGTCACTTCAGAATTTCGTTTTCCCTGCAGAGGAAGTCTGTAAGGGATTATAGGAACTTCTACGGGGGTGATTATTTCTTTGGGACGCAACTGCGACGCTAGCCAGCTTGCTAGCTGATGAGCTCCGGGACTGGCATACTGAAAGTCATAATAATTATCATTATCATCTTCAGAAAGGTCATTTCGTTTCATTTGAAATTAGATATCCCTCTTCTTGTTGAAGATTTTGGGGTTTTGAGAGTTATTTTATCTGTAAATAAATTTTGCGAAACTGAACCTATAGAAAAATATGTAGCTACGCCAATGCAACTTCCTGTAGAATTTCTTGCATTGCAAATGCAAACAATATGAAGATGACTCTTCCTCATTTGTTTGTATAATAGTTACTGGCAAATGTGAATGCATATACACTTTGATATAGTTGTTGGAATTTTCGAAAGATAAAAAAATCTTATCTTTCGGGAATGGATTTTCCTAAATATATGTAAGAATAAATTCGTTGACATCATATTCTTGAGTCAGAATGTTATGATATTTATGAATGTTTTGTAAACTCCTAATATTATTTTTATTGATGAAAATAATAAAAACTGCTAGCTAGATTGAAATGAATATTATCGGTTGAAGAGTGGCCGTATTTTATATTTCATTGTTGGCAGCACTGAATTTGTTTTAATTATTTGAACTAAATTGCAATAGATGGCGCCACCGTATACTTGTTAGTATTTGGTTGAACGTGACAGTAAATGAATTTATACATTATATTCGAGAGTTCGCCATAAATTCGACATCAGGTGTAGCCAACATTATAACATCAAATGTCTCATCTTTTTCAAGTGTTATTTGATAACAATTGAGTGGTGATCTGGTATTATATTTTGATTTTGAGCTTCATTTGATGGAATACATGGAATATCTCCAGTATCTTGATTATTTTGACTGATGACATTGACAGTTATGACGAGAAACACGATTGCCAACAATGAAATATAAAAATCGACCAACACCTAATTCTTTCTTGAATATGGTAAATTGAGTATTATTGATTCCATTTGTAATCACTAGTTTCCTTTATAAGTATTGAATTTCACAAAAATGTGTTTTTCATTTCACATTGTCATGGTTGAAACGCTGGAACTGCATTTTTAAATGAGTAATAGATGAAAATCTTGACTTTCAGGAAGAATTACATTGAGAATTTTCAACTTACGTCTCTGTCGAGGTAGCGGAACTCTTCAGTAGGCAGTGCCTGGAGGATGTTCAATGTTGCGCAGCATAGAAGAAGAGACACCAATATCCCTTTGCTCTTCTGGTTACGATCCGAGGTATACCTTGAAATAAGGGGTGTATGATATTTAAAAGTAAGTATTGGTAAATTTTGGCATAAAATCATTTTTTCAATTGAGTTTTCCGTACAGCAGGATTGCTAAGAGTAACAATTCTTCATACTCAGCAACTGTGCTCTGCAGAACATGAACGCAACTAAATAAATAATATAATTGTGTATCATCAGCGCACATATACAGCGGTATTCTATATTCTGAGAGCCTACATCAAGTGCTAATAGCAAAATGTGGACTGATTTTCAATATGTCTGCGAATAAAGAAGATATAGGCAAAAAAATAATCTGGGATTTTTTGGTTTTTCCTGTATATCTCCAGAACCAAAAGAGTTATATTCGATTTCTTTACATCACTGAATCTCTGAAATACACAACTTTGCCACAATTTAACCGACACTCTATCTCTTATCGTTTACGAGATTCCCATATACAGAAACGAATTTGAATAGCCCTGTATATTTCTAGATAGTATAAAGTATATGGAGAACAAGGCCAAAAATTGACCCTTGTGGTACTTCTGAAGCTAATTCTTTTAGGCTCGAAAGTTCATTCCCAACTTACATCAATTCAGTCCTGTTTGATACGTATGATTTTCAAATAGTTATTGTAGGTAGATACATTGTAGGTAATGTAATTTGGGTAAGAGAAGGCCTATACAGTAGGTTACTCGTTATCGGAAGCTTTGACGATGTCGTCAAGAATATTTATTAAGGCAATGACACAGCTGAACCATTGGGCCACACCTGAATAGTGAAATAATCAATTGATTCGTAAATACAGGATGAAAGATATCTCGCAACTGAAACTTCCACCGGAAAACACGTTCTTAAATAGCAACCCCAATACGCCTTCTCTAAACAGAGAGTGTTCCGGACATCCCATTAATGTATTTGTATTTTTACCTGAAGGATTCTTTTATTGGCAGGTTAATTCAGATTCGTCTGCGTCAAACCGATTCTGTTGCAATGTTTTCAATTCAATTCCCGTTGGAAGGGCAGCCAGATGAGTGTGACTGTTATTAGGCTTCCGCCTATTTCTTGCTCACTCTCTGGTTATGGAGTTTATATCTGACATCTCGCGTGCTAATGAATGGGGAACACTTTTGGCGATGTTGACAGCTTCAAACTCGAATATTATTTTCCAGATTTTAAAAATAAACTGGAATGTGCAGATAAGTTGAATGAGTATCCTGGGTTTTGGCTCTCAAAATTCCATGCTGCTTTGAACTTTGTATGATGTCCCAACTTTTGCAATGATCAAGCAGTTACTTTATTGTTCTGATTATTTCCTTTATAATTAAGAAATAACAACAATTTATAAATAATATCCAAAAGTCTCTGAATTCTATTCGTATAATAAGACATTTTCAATTCGAATGGAAACGTTATTCTGGATTTCAAAGAAATCGAAAAGAATACGCGACGTATCGGTGAGCATCTAACCGCTGCATTGCTGTGCACCGATATTTACCCGACCATATTATACTTGCGAATTCCAATTTAGGTCTCACAAGTGAGTAGTATAATAATTTTATAGTATTGTTATTCGTAAAGTCCCGAGTTTGTCTAATAATGAATCCTAACATTCGATTTGCCGATTTAACAATATTTTGAATATATTTGGCAGAAAATAAAGTACTGTTATAAGTTACCCCAAGATCTCTAACCTCAGAACATCTGTGGAGGACTTCCTCATCCATCATATAATCAAAATTAACAGGATCCTTCAAACTACTTATTGTGATGATGTTACATTTAATAATATTGAATTTCAATGTATTTGTGATTCTCAATTCATAATACTGTGGATGTCCCTTTGCAGATTAACACAATCACTAACTGTTTGTATCTGTTTATATATATTTTCAGATCATCGGCAAAAAGCAAACTGGACGATTGTAGCGATTAACCACAACTTTCCATTGCTTTTTTTCTATTGAAAATATTTTTCCCCTACAGAAAAAACATACTGTCTCTTATGTTAAGCAATACTAGATCCCTTTGGTGTATGAAACCGAATATGTGAATCAAGTTCCTCATGGCGATCTATTACAGTCCGCTTAATTTGACCCACATAGTTTTTATCGCAATCTTCGCTGTTTATTTCGTAAATCCTAGACTTTCTCTTTTTCGTTACTCAGAGCTTTCCAAAATTTCATACTACAAACAAAGTCGTTCAGTTCTTGCACCGAATCTTACACAAACGTTCGATTCAAAATATAAAATGATCTAGTACGACACCCTAACTATGCGGACAATGTTGATCCATCAGTTCAAAAAGAAAAACAGCATTTCGACTTAAACAATGCAGCACAGCTCATGCAAACATATTCAACAACAATTTTAGTCGTTGTTTCCGAGCATTCATAATTGCTGTTATTGAAACCCATAGGTTGAAATAATTTAACTTGTGCAGTCACGCAAAGATTTACTAACAAAACGTGATTGTTTTTGATAGCGCGAGGACGCGAAGAAAAAATGGTTCGTACCAGACGATGGTTGCACTACAAGAGAGCATTTCTGTTCCAATCAACGCAAAGAGATTTCCAAGTTTTGAAGATTTGTCTCAAACTAGGAAAGTACTGCGGAGTATCTCCAATCAACATGCAGTACAACGAGCATACAGCAACATGCACCAGTATGTTTTCTCTCATACTATTTCTGCTATTTTCTGTGAGAACCTTATCATCCCATGTGGCCAGTGGACTAGTTATATTCGATCTAATATCCTTCATCTGGATAGCATCAATGCTACTCTTCATAGCAAGCAATTTGCGCTCCAATTTCACAACAAAGAACAATTGGATTTCCTTCCTTGACTACCTCACAAGAATGGAACAAATATTAGCGACTGTAGGATTCCAGATGAAACAGAGAAGCTACAAACAGTACGTTGAGGTCTCCTTAATTCTGGTGATATACTTGATGTGGTTCATTGTTGAAATATACCAGATCCTATCGAATATAAAGGTCACTATTGATATCGGAAATTTGTTCGTTAACTGTTCTGTGATGATCCACAATTTTTATAGCACAGTACTGTTCATTTATATCAAAGCAATATCGGAACTACTGGAAGCTAGATATGGCTTTATCGATACTAAACTTAGGGAGTTTGTCGCAATTGGAGGTTCGAAGAACGGTACATTGCTCAAAACAGTATCTGCTTTTCTTAAATTGTCAGAGAGAACAGTTGAGGAAGGAAATATAGTACTGGGTTGGCAATTTTTTCTGGAAACTGTTATTGGAATACAGTATGTTTTACACCTTGTGCTCATTTTACTATTCCATAATCCAGGCTGGGGTATTATAGCCAGAACTAATTTTGCTGTAATAATACATACAGTGAGTATCAGCAATATTATTACAATGATTTCTCGAGATATTTCCGCTGTGTTTGGCTTACCCGAATATAGACTGATTAAGTATTTCATGCATCAGGAGTATTAGATGACTTGTGGTTCTTTATATTGGTCAGATTCAAATAACTTTTTCCAAAAGACCAATAGAGAGCATAGAAGAATTGAAATAGTGATTTGAAATATGCAAAACATCTCTTGGTAGAGGTTTAAACTTGCTTGGTATGCTTAGAAATCAATAGATTCCAAAATTAGGATCATTTTCTAATGAAGTTATAAAGTTGGTAATTTTGTTAACAATTGCGTGTTATTGAATGAATTCGCTTGTAATTCACCCTGAACTAGAATGAGTTATTTGTGACCCCTAACTCTTTTATTTGAAAAGTTGTAATTTCATTTCAGCACCGCAAAGCTCTTGAAGGCTTGTGAAGAATCTAACGTCAAGTGCCAGGTGTCAGAACATTTAATTAGTTGTTTTCCACATAGTTTGAAGCGTCCCCTGGTGTCACTGGCAAATTACACTCTGAGGCAACAAAACGTAGCTGTTGTGACCATTTGGCTTTGTTTTGACAGCTCGCAGCCAACTTCACACAGCTCTTGACAGATAATTAAATGTCCCGTCAAGGGCAGAACTAACAGGAAATGTGCTGTTATTATTGAAATATCAAATCGGTTTCTTTTTCCAAAAGATTAATAGAGAGCATAGAAGAATTGAAATAATGATTTGAAGTATGCAAAACATCTCTTGGTAGAGGTTTAAACTTGCTTGGCATGCTTGAGAATCAATAGATTCCAAAATTTGGATCATTTTCTGATGAAGTTATGAAGTTGGTAATTTTGTTAACATTTGCGTGTTATTGAATGAATTCGCTGGTAATTCACCTTGAACTAGAATGAGTTATTTGTGATCCCTATACCATTTATGGGACGTAAGCTCGATAGTCATTTAGCCTTCTTCAATTTCAGATATGTATAATATCGATGGTGTTGTCTTGTGATGCTCTGGAAAGAATTGGAAAGGAAATAACGAATACTTGTTACGAATTACATCTAAGATCGATTAATGTGAAAATGAAGAAGAAACTTCTACATCTTGCTAAATATTCCAATCAGATGCGACCTATTTTTTCCGCCGCTGGATTTTTTGACATCAATCAGTGTGTTTTGAATGCGATATTCGCAACTATTATGAATTTCTCTGTGACGCTTATACAGTTCAATATGGTATTGTCGAAGTAGTTTTGTATTGTATTTTACAAATTCTGTCGTTACATGCTTACAAAAATCAAATGTATCTCTTTCATTCGTGCATTTTAAAGCTCCAATAATATCATGCAACTTTGTAAATCTAATACATGCAATATATAACTACTTTTCAAATTGTCATTCTTACATCGCAATCAGCTTTTCTTCAACTCTGTTATTTGAGCAGAAAAAGTATGTCTCTCGCAGGCCACACTTTCTCCTTCTCTTGTAGGAGAATGAAATATTATTATCGGCCTGAAAAGTTGTAATTTCATTTCGGCACCGCAAAGCTCTTGAAGGCTTGTGAAGAATCAGACGTCAAGTGCTTAGTGCCAGAACATTTGATATTTAATTGTTTTTCACAAAGTTTAAAGCGTCCTCTGGTGTCAATGGAAAATTAATCACTCAAAGGCAACAAAACGTAACTGTAGTGACAATTTAGCTTTGTTTTGACAGCTCGCAGCTAACTTCACACAGATCTTGACAGATAATTAAATGTCCCGTCAAGGGCAATACTGACAGGAAATGTGCGGTTATTATTGAAATATCAAATCGGTTTCTTGAACTTTAATATGTAAAATGGATATGATCACACAGACCAGCCTTGAAGCATTGCTGCGTGAGTACTTTTTTTGATTTCTACAACAAGAATACTCTCATTTGACTCGTTTTGTAGTGAAAGCAACAAACTCAAAAAACCTCAATTTCGATACCGCTGCTGTTGAAGCCTTTTGCACTCTTGTAAATAAAGAACGGGATGGGGCCTATATTGGGGTGAAAGTTATTGCCGCGAGGCTCACGGCTGAAGAAAAAGAGGTGTTGCAAACCCTGAATGTACTGGATACATGCATGACCAAATGTGGCAGTCACTTCCAGAACGAAGTAGGAAAATTCAGGTTCGTAAATATTCGCCTTTTTGAAAAATGTCTTTTACGTTTACAAAAACCAAAATATACTTCCAGGTTTCTGAATGAAATGATCAAGCTAGTATCGCCCAAGTACTTGGGCTCAGAGACACCATTAACGGTAAAGCAGAAAGTACTTCAGCTGCTGTACGTTTGGACGCTCGACTATCCCAAAGAAACTAAAATCAAAGAGGCCTTCGATATGTTGAGGAAACAAGGTGTCATACGTGAGATTCCCAACCCCAACATGCCGTCATTCGATACCTTGAACGTTGCCAAAAGAAAGCCTACCAGTTCGGTATTTCAGGATGAGGAGAAGTCTAAAATATTACAAAAATTGCTGCAGAGCAAAGATCCTGAGGATGTTCAAGCTGCGAATTGGCTCATCAAGAGTATGGTGAAAGAAGTGAGTAGTTTACAGAATATTTGCTATCGAGTTATGTGATAATTATAATTGAACTAGAGATTTTCAACAAGTACAAGTTGTGTTAAAAAAGATAAGATGAATATTCATTATTATTCATTTATTTAATGATAATAATAATAATGATTGAGACTGAGACATATTTTGCTAAAAATTGATGCCTTTTTATTTTTGAATAAATTAATTATTTAAGCTCATTCCAAACTAAAAAAATATTTTTGGGGTTGTTATTTGTTAATTTTCTGATGTATTATCCGTCGAGTTTACATTTTGTGGATATGTCAATGAATTTCTTATATTTTCAGGACGATAAAAGAGCAGAAATGAAAAGCAGAAGAATATCTGAACTTGAATCGGTTCAGAACAATGTCAGACTGCTGAATGAAATGCTGGATTCGTACAAACCTGGCATTTCTTCCGCGGGAGAGCTGGACCTCATAAAAGAACTGTACCAGAATTGTGAACGACTGAGGCCCACCATAAACAAGTTGATATTGGAAACAAACCACGGCGAGGGCATATTAGGTCGGTTACCATATTTTAGCTGAACGATTCTTGAAACCATGTTTCAATTTTCAGGTGATGTTCTAGGAACCAACGATGAACTTTCCACAGCGTTCAACAAGTACAACATTCTCATTGTCCAAGGCAAACCCTTGCCCCCCAAACCGAAAGATTCTAGTCATAATTCTTTGCTTAATTTCGAAGTTGATGCAAAAGTAATGGATTACCTTCCCAAAGAGCAGACCTCTAAAGATAGTGGGACATCGATTGATGTTCTTTGTGATATTTTCAATAACGCTGGGATTCCCGATTCTGGGGAAGTGCTTCAGCCTGTGGCTTTATCAAAATTAATATATGCTCATTTATTAAACACACAGATTCCAGTATAAATAATGCAGTTACCGTTAAAATATTATGTTTTTTGAAAAAGGTTCTACTCCCCAAAACGGTATTGCGTAGAAATTTTGTGTTATTTTTAGATTCTAGTGATCTGTCTTCAAAAAAAAGTTCGTTGAATGGGCATCTAAATGGTATTAAATTTGTTTTAGTTAAGTTAAAAGTTTAGATGTTTGAATCACATCAATCATTAACTTTTTTCAAGTCGGCAGAGATTATTTTGTGCAACTCACAAGTGTTTTTTTATTCCAAAGTATGGTCTGCAAATAACTCCTCAGAAATATAAGTTGTAAAGTTTGGATTTGTACTATATTGATAGGTCTAAGTTGTTTCTTGATTTGTATAAATTGATTATCGGTTCCTCATAACTTAATTTGAAAAAACATTTAATAAGAAATTTTTGCTGCTTCTGAAATTGATATTTACTTCTAACCACAAAATACTTTTTTGATAACTTGTTTCGGAAAAGCCGCTACTTCATAAGAATCTTATATTCTATTCTGAATTCAAAAAACAGCAACATTTTCGAAATTTTCTTTTTTCACTGCTTTTTTATTATTGTAAGTTATTTTGAGAAGTGATCGATATTTTGGATATTTTTTTTGGTTGAAAATGAGATTTTTCAGATGATCAAAAAGTTTGTGATGACGAAAAGGAAAAGCAAAATAAATTCAGGTCTCTGGAAGATCTAGACATACTGGGAGAACATCTCATTAAGGAAAATCTTCAAGGCGCCCGGCAAACCAATTTTAGGTAAATGAATATACTTTATTATTACTTCTGTTTTGAAACTTTGAAATTACGCCTATGTTTCTATCAAAATAGAAAAGTCTCTTGTATTGTATTGACTGTGAGATATTTTTCCGAAAAGATTATTTTTCAAGGAAATCTTTTTTGGTTTAGAAAAACTTTTGAAACTTCCGAAGAAACAAAGAGGGTAATTAGGTTCTTAATAAACTTTTGCGTGTAGATGTGCCCAAAAATTTGTCTCAACTGCTTCCCTATAAACATTGAATTATGGAAAATTCTTTTTTCATTTCTTCTCCACTTTCTTTGTATGAATAAAGAGAATTGGAAAGCCAAAACATATTATTATTCGTTGCCCTGAGTGTACCGGAATTTCAAACCAACTCCATTAGATTTGCCACATGAATTGAGTTATCAATACACATATAATCTGTTCCAGAGGTCCCCAAGAAAAAATCCCGATGAACCGCCTCGGCAAGATCTCCGAAACAAAGCAGGGTCAGTCGTCTCAATCAAACAGCTGCGATTCTTACAGCCTAGACCTGAACTACCTCCTCCAATCGAGAAATGACTCAGCTGATCCATCAACGGACGATTCTAAAAGCCTGCACGACACCAGCGATGACTTCCTCGTCGATATTTCCGACGAGAAAATGTTGGATGTGGAGAAAACCGACATGCCCCTTCCAGAAAAAGAACATCAAAAACCGGTTGCGAATGAAACCGACCCCAAAAAGGACATCAAGTTGAACGACATCCACGTTAAGCTGGAAGATATCGAGCCGAGTAGTTATCCTCCAGTGAAAGTCCTGGATGAAAGGAATGGAATCAGCGTGTCTCTGCATTTAGCTAAGGACAAGCCGAGAGAGGGGGTGAACGTGTTCGTTGTGACGACAGTCAGCAAGAACAAGCTTCCCCTGAGCAGTTTTATGTTCCAAGCCGTTGTTCCTAAGGTAACGATGAAAATTTCTGGATATTATCGTTGTTTCTCATGGATGTAACAATACTCTTGACAGGAATGTTTCTTCTCTGCTTCCGGCTGTTTGGGCCAGATCTGTCCTGCATTGACGAGAGGTGTTACCTCGGAGCCGGTCTATAGGTTATCTATTCGATTGATTTCAGCGTAGTCCTGCAGCTGGAAGAACGAGAAACGTCTGCGAGACTTACTTTTGTGAGATATCTTGCATAAATGTCTGTCGGATGTAATGCAATATCCAGCGTGGTATTAGTCGAGGAAGTAGCTGTTTTCCGATAGATATTTACTAAAACCTACTGTGTAAGAACATTGGGAGAAAACGGTGTTTCGAAATTTTATTTAGAAGTGTTTTTGAGGTTATACTTCTTCCTTCCTTCCTTCTTTATTGGCCGCTGCTTCCTATTCAGGCGCAATTGAGTCCGGCTCAATACCTGGGGTTGTCTTTATCTGAGCTAAGCCCATGAACCATCCATTAAATTTATTCAGTTCTTTTATTCAATTTGTGACATTGTGACGCGTTAGGTAAAAATGAAAGTCAATTTTAACGATGCGCGCGCACACTCACGAAAAACCGACACCCTGAAGTTGGCTTCTTCTTCTTCTTCTTTAATTTATGTCGGAGTTCTCAGTCGAGCGCATTTAGCCAGACTCCTGTCCGGGGACTCAGTTGTCTTGATGGAGACAATGCTGCCACCCTAAGTTTTCCCATTCTTAAATACTTCAATTTTTTGCTAGGGGGCCGCCAGTTCTCTCAGCGTGGTCACTGGCGTAATCGGCCGCCCGTCCTTTCAAAACGTATATACTCACATACTCTTTTTTTTTCTTCTAGAAATGATACGGTGCAGATGTAAATAAATGAGACTAAAATGTATATTTAGACAAAAAAAAGTATTTGACTGGACATCGCTAACACATGAAAACTGTTGTTAATGTCCATTCCTTTGATTGTAGATTATAACTGTTTTCACCTCTGCTGGAATTGACGTAGTAATTCAGTGTGAATATTCCTTTTTCCAACAGGGATGCAAGCTGAAAATGCAGCCGCCCTCTTCTACAGATCTTCCCGCCTACAACCCTTTCCTACCTCCTTCGGCCATCACCCAGATAATGCTGGTAGCGAATCCTGGTGGTGTTCAGATGTCTCTGAAATTCTTTGTGAGCTACACCATGGATGAAGATACCGTTACGGAAATGGGAGAGGTCGAAGACTTGCCCGCTTTGTGAAAGGAATTGAAGGTTTTACCGGCTGTACCTAAAGTAAGGTTATGAATCTCTTTGTATTCAGTATGGTCAGAAGGAGTGTCTGTTTTGAGTGATATCAAGAGAAAATGTAGGTTTTGTTGCTGCGAACGGTGATTGATCTTCAGTCTGCTGTTTGGTGGTGCTTTTAGTGGAAACTTATATTTTTCAAGAATCTCAGGACCGAGACTTTCTTTCTCTCTCTCTATTTGTAAGATTCATTCTGGAGGAAAAATATCAGGGTTAGTCTACAGAGAGAGAGAGAGAGAATGCGGATATTGAATTAAGATATGAAAGTTCAAAATGGTTTGCATTTCAAATATTGATTATAGTAAAAAATTTTTCAATTGCTGAATCAATTCAAGATTTATTGTTTCTATGAGTAAACAATTTTGAAAGTGGAGTTTTTGTGAACTTTAACATATAACTGGACTGTATTAACAGTACTTTTTTCTGTTATCACTTCAGTATCTATTATTGCTGTGTTCAAATATACCAAAGATTCATTTTATTTCAAAAGATTATAATTCTTAAAATTATTTTGTTGACTGATTGGGTCAAACTTAGCTGCAAAACCAAAGTCGAAATTTACAGATTAACGTCGTAATTTCGAGATTGAAGTCGTAATTTCGAGATTAAAGTCGTAATTTTGAGAATAAAGTCGTAATCTTGAGAATAAAGTCCTAATTTCGAGATTGAAGTCGTAATTTCGAGATTGAAGTCGTAATTTCGAAATTGAAGTCGTAGTTTCGAGATTAAAGTCGTAATTTTGAGAATAAAGTCGTAATTTCAAGATTAAAGTCGTAATTCCGAGAATTAAAACGAAATTTTTAGTTTAAAGTGATAATTTCGAGATTTAAGTCGTAATTTCGAGATTTAAGTCGTAATTTCGAGATTTAAGTCGTAATTTCGACCTTAGTCGTAATTTCGAGAATAAGAACGAAATTTCTGGTTTAAAGTGATAATTCCGAGATTAAAGTCGTAAGTTACAGAGTGAAGTTGAAATTTCGAATTTAAAGTCATAATTTCGAGATTAAAGTGGAAATTTCGAGTTTCAAAGTCGTAATTTCCAATAAACGACTGATTAAAAAAATATGTCCTATCAGCGCTTCTGTAGAGAACTAAATCATACAAAAGAGAAAGCCAAATTTAAAGGTTTTTTTTGGTTCCTGATCCTCGTACTTAAAAGATTTATATTCATTGAGGAACAATTCTCTAGTGTTCAGGTACTTTTGGAATAGACACAAACCATTTTTATTTTTCCCAGATAACAAAATTCCTACACTCCCACGCTAGTCGTTCATAGTCATTAAAAAAAATTATAGACAAAGTCTATATTAAAGTGTAGTCAGAAGAAGTTGCATTTAAAGCCTTCAATGATGTCACGATCCAAGAACTTTCTAAAGTTTCATTTTTCGCTGTCTTTTAATGAAATTGACAAAGATGTATCTTACTACACTGTTATTAGGTGGTCCAAAGAAAGAAATTGAATTGACCGGCAGTCCAACACACTGTTGCGGCACTAGAACTGTAACACTCTTTTCAATGTACATTTCTCCAACTAAAGTAGCATCATAAATGACAAAGACGAACTATGAGCAACAGAGGTGCAATCTATCGGTGAGTAGCAGTATCATTTTGGACAATGCATTTCATGACGAGTGGGAGATGGATTTTGTTGATATTTTGAATCTGGGTGGAAAATATGATCGTTATTCAACAATGAGTTAGTAGCCCCAAAATGGCCGACTCTCTAGAGGAAACTTGAAAGTTTTGTGTTTTATATTTTGCTTTTTTTACATAAATATATTTCTATCTGTTATTTCGTGTATGAGAAATTGTTCTGATGGGTGGATGAAATAAAACAATTGCAATTTTTCAGGTGGTTTTATTTTAGTAGTATCTAACAATATAGCATAAATATAGTGACCAAGAGCTATTGGGTTACGTCTCGGAAGGCCAGGGCCGTAACTGCTTTCTGGTGTCCTGCATATTCTCTCTCCATGTCCCCAGTTTTGACGTTCCAAAGACGTGTGAATCCATCTGAAGATGCTATGGAAAGATTGATGATATTAAAGCTACTTCCCGTGAAGGGTGATTGACAAGTTTGAAATTGACATGGCATGACTAGTGAGTTTGACAATAACAATATTCGAGTTTTATTTTGAGTTCGATTGTGAATTATTATTATGAAACCACATATCTGGTTTATTTTTCGACCCAACTGATTCTTTGATGAACTCGCCACTAAAAGTTACATAGCAAATGAGGGTAGCATCATCCAAAAATAATGCTATTTAGGAGGTTACAATAGTTCAAATGTTGAGTAGATTATAAATAGGAGCGGCCTCAGAACTGAACATTGTAGGACACCTTATGTAATAGGCTGGTCATAAGAAGTTGTACTATACTAAAAGTATGAGCAAAAAGTGCTTTCCATCCTCAAGACCCTCAATCACCTCTCTCCCAATTCTCATCACCGACTGGGAAGTCTGTTTATTCTTGCAAAATCCAAAATTGTGATCATTGATATAGTTGTTCCAAATAGAGCATGGTCTGATACAAGGATGTAAAAAATATACTTTAAATTTCCGCTGATGAAGTTTAGAGTTCAAATTATCATTGATATACAATTAAAAATAATAGGAGGCTCAAGAACAGTTCCTTGGTTATTAAAGAAATCAAATGAAAAATGAATACAGTAAAGATAGTTTTAACTCAAATACCGACAAAATAAACATCAACTACACATCACAACTGACACTAATGACAAACTACACAGTAACCAACTTACTTGGAATTCCCACTTACTTTGAATCAGGACTGAACTTGCACTTGAGAGCATGCCTTTTGTGAGCATCGAACTTCTGTTTTGGAATCATTTTCGTAGGGGTGTCGATGCTACCAGAGATGAGGCTCCAAATGTAACATCTACCTTTGTTGTTCACAGCAGCCATCAGCTGGCTGTCAGGGGAAATATCTACGTCCAGGATCATCGCATCGTTTTCTGGAATCTAAAAGAAAAATAACCTTGAAGTTGTATTCTCAGTATCTCACTCCAAAAAGTTGTAGTCCCAAATTGAAATTAAACTGAATGATAAACAGTAAAAGTGTTATAATAGATCCTTGCATGACTTCCAAAAACATATGTTGCTTCCAATAATATAATTTTGAAACAAAAAAATAATTACTCCTCAATAACGATTAGTTAAAACAAAACTTCATGATAAAAGATTTCTCTGTACCAACTGTTCGTTATTATCAGTTCTAAGATCCCATCGATATATAATCCCGTTCTGGTCGCCGACGAACAGCTCCACTTGGTTGGGATGCAAGCAAACGCAGTTTATCGGGGCTTGCACTTCAAATATTTTCGGGCACTGACTGTTTCTCGACCGCAAGTCCCATATCCGGGCTCTACTGTCTTCGCCACCTGAGTACATCCATTTACCGTCCTCTTGGAATCCAACGCTAGTGACGTTTTTCGAAGTCCCTTCGTAGTTGACTACTGCGATACTGTTATTTGAGGCCAAATCGTACATCTGAATGTGCTGGTAACCTCCCGCTGCCAGGAGTTGCTTATCGGGAGTGATTTCCAGAGCATTAACTTGCTGAAAATTAAAAGAAGAATAGATAATGGGGCAATTTCTTGATGGATAGTAGTTGCTTTTGTACCGATTCAGCATGTTGCAGGGTCCTGTTGCAAATACCCGTGTGAGTCTGCCATAGTTTAATCGTGTGGTCGTATCCGCCAGTTGCTAGTATTATTTGGTCATTTTCTAAATTTTCTACAGTCATTTCTCAAATTACTGAAATATTTTATTATTTTGTCAACATAACCTTCAAATGATTTGCTGTCAACGTCAGGTGTCAATTTAAAATTTTTCAGTTGGCCCAATCACTGGTTTTTGAGTGTAGGTTCAAAAAATTCCAATAAACTTTGAAGAATCATAAAACCGATTGCAGTTCTGAATTCTGCACCTGAAGATCTTTCTTTCTCAACATGCTTTTTTAAGGAAATCTACTTTCCATATGACGAAATAGCAAAGTCGAAGGAGTTCTCCTTGATTTACCTCCACCAAGGAAAATCATAATATGTCTATTTGAAGGATTACTTTTTTTTTTCACGACAATTTAACTATTTCAGAATCGCCGGATATGAAGAAACCAACAATTCTAGATTCTGCCTGTCGAAATTTTGCTGTGTTCGTTTTCCTGGACCAATTTTAAGAGAATAAATAATAAGAAATTGTAGCGCCATCTCATGGTCAGAAGCTGAACTTTTGAAATAAAGTCATAATAGGAAAACTGTAAATCATTGTTTGCACATTGTTGTAGTTTAAATGGGCTTCTGAGCAACAGATGGCTTGAAAACCCTAAAATTTGATAGAGTCATCTAGAGAGCAAAAGCCGATTTTTGTAAGTAAACATTTTAAAAATAAAGGAAACTGTAATTCACGGTTTGCATACTGCTAAGTTTAATTAGGCTTTTGACCGTTAGATGGCAATATATCAATTTTTTTCATCTTGTAAAATGAGAAATAAAATTTCCTGTTTTTTACCAATCGTATTTGTAACTAACGTTACTGAATTTCTATCCTATGTGGACATTTTCAAACCTATACAATAGTTATACATATATTGCATTGGTTTGAATACTAATACAAGTATTATCAGTTTGAATACTAAAACAAGTATTTTATTACTTTAAAAATGTCCTTATAGGACGGAACTGCAGTAACGTTAGTTACAAATACGATTAGTAAAAAACAGGAAGTTTTATTTCTCATTTTACAAGATGAATTATTTGATATATTGCCATCTACCGGTCAGAAGCCTAACTAAACTTTAGCAGTATGCGAACAGTAAATTACAGTTTTCTTTTTGGTGAATACATAAAGAAATCAGCTTTTACTCATTAGATGACTCTATCAAATTTCAAATTTTTTGGCCATCTGTTGCTCAAAAGCTTATTTAACGTACCACAACTTGCAAACTATAATAATTTACAGTTTCCTTATTATGACGTTACTTCAAAAGTTCAGCTTCTGACCATAAGATGGCGCTATGTTAGTAACAATAAACTAATTTAGTATTGTATCAGGTTAGAAATGTTTTTATAAAACGAAACTGCAGTAACGTTAGTTACAAATACAAGTGTTGAAAAAACACTGGAAGTTTTAATTCTCACTTTCCATGATAATCTCCTACCACGATGTAACGGTTACATTTATCAATTTTTTTTCTAAATGAAAGAAATCGATTGCATTTCTGATTTCACACTTCAAAATTTGTCTCGGAGAAATATTTTTCAAGAAAAAAACAATTTTCTGAAGTGAAACAATAGTATAGATGTTTTGTTGTCACACAATGTAAAAGTCAAAATAAACTATTTTAAACATTAAATAAATATATTTACTCACTTATATACAGAATAAATCAAAACAAGCCAACAAATGAAAGCACAACGAGTATAAAAATGCACAAAATCAGTGGGACAAACTTAACAACAAAGCTGTGCCGCGTTTGATCCAAAAATCAGCGGATTCCAGACCACTCTTCAGATCGACAGCTACCACGAACGCAGGACGATTTGCAGCGCCAGTTCTTATAGGAAAATAGTAGCAAGGACACGAATATAACCCTGAAATACAACACCATTATCAAATATTACGATGAACGAAAACGGTAAAATGTGACTAGTGCCCCGACGAGTATTGAAGTCACCTTTCGTTTTCTTCTTCAGTTGCTCCACTGGTTTGAAATGTATCAAAGGCATTGGACAGACCAGCTGCATCGGTTGAGGCTCAATCAGCATAGCGTTCTTCTTATCCCAACCGGCACCTTCCAAAAAAGTACTCTTCACGTAGACTCCGTTCTCCGGAGCCAACTGAATCTGATTTTCGTCCACGTTCATAACGGTGAATTCCCAGCTCAGAGAGTCGATGGGAACTTCATTGGCACGAGCAGTTGTCTGAAAGGCAAATAATGAGTAAATTCTAAGTTTCAACTTCGGGGAAACGGTCTTACTTGTAGTACGGCCGTTAAAAAGCCAGTGGGAAATGTATACGCAGCCAACCAGAAAAACATGGGAGGACGGGTGCTGGCCGCCCACACTGAAAAGTGTTCCACTCTGGCTACGAGGTCTCTCGTCCAGGACCCCAACAGTTTCAGCGATGGATATGCTGAAGAAAAGAATATTCCAATGTAAAGAAATCAGGATAGCAAGTGTTACTTCATTCAAACACCTCATTGAGATGTGCCTCGCAATGATTTTCATGTCATCGTGAGTTTTAAGAAACATCTGCCATTCCGAAATTCAAAACCTTTTTGATTAAGTAATTATTCATTATTATTATATCAAAGATGAACGAAGCTCTCCAAGGTGGTCCATAAAAAAACTTCGACGACATCCCATAAGTGGTGTCTTCGTATTATTCTTATCATTTATTATTCATGTTATTATATACAGCCTGTGGTGGAGGATACATTACCTTTCAACCAAGCAGATGGCACTCTTCCTTCATAGATACAAGTGAATATTTCCTCCAATTCCGTTGACATGACAACGAGGCCAGCAATTCCTTTTTGTAGATCTTCCAGAGAAGAACGAATTGATACCAATAGATAATTATATCTGTAACACATTATATATCATGTAGTAACGTCTTGAGTACGCCAAAAAAGTTTCTATAGTGCTTTTGTATTTCTTGTGATTCAATTAGGTTATTGAAATCAGTACCTCTGAATCTCCTGCAACAGCACCACATCCAACGGCGATTTGTACGCCCCCATCAGCTTCTCCGTATGTTCGTAGTCGATTGTGGCAGGCAGCTTCGACAGCACGTCGGAAGCCAAGTCAGTCACCTTCTCCTCTTTTGATTCCTCCGCGCTCGCGGTGCTTTGCACCTGCAGCGACATCAACGTCTCAAACAGCATCCGCGATTCCGATATCAGAGACGTGATGTCGGCGTTCGGGTGTTGTCCAAACGCCTCTGGCCTGTCAATGTTCGGCAGCAGCGTGACGTAGTCCAGGTAGGATTGGATCGAACCGTCGCGAGGGATGTAGTACGTCGACAGGGACGACAACCTTAAAAAAAGTCGATTAGAGGATTTGATAGGACCGCGATAGGATCCCTGTGGAACACTCCCGTGCGCAGGGGACTCACCTGAAGTAAGGGACGTTCAGAGCATCGTCACAGAAGTACTGGTTTATGTAGGTCGTCAACAGCCGCCTGTCCCAATCATCAGTCACATGCCCACCATAGCTGACGCCGGCGATCAGATATTTCAAGGCGTCCCACGGCGTCGTGGTGTACTCGTTGATGTAAATCGTCAGCAGGTTTTCAGATACCTGGAACATATACAAATGAAAAACCACACGTCCAACTCCTTTTCGACATGATCCACCTGAAAGTCAGAGTCGTTAAAGCTATAAATGACATTCCAACCTAGTTGCTGGAACTTCTTCCTCTCCAAGAGGATGGCGTGAAAGAAGCACAGCCCGAAAAGCAACTTCTTGTACTTTTCCGGATGCTCGCAAGCCGTGAACTGGTCCTCTGTGATCAGTTGGTAGAGTCTCTTCAGGTTAGCCCTCAAGCCCTAAGTACAATAAAAAATTGCGATATAGGGTCATTCTGAAATCCTTTCGAATAGCCAAGACAGTAGTATTGTAGAGTAATATTTTAGAATGGTTATTTACTTTGGGGGGCTCTGTGGTCATTTTGATTCCGGCTTGAAGAATGGAAATGGGAAACTCTGGATGGGGGCTGGAACTCAGCCATAGTCGAAATTTGCTGTTGATTTTGCTTGTTTGGAGCAGCTCGACAATCTTATCCAGTTTGGGCATCCAGCTGAGGGACAGGTGACAATTTGCCAGGAAAACCCAGTGTCCATCCTTCGCACCAGTTTGAATCAACCTGTAGCAATTTCAATAATTGATAATTAATATCTCTTTGAACATTATCATAATTTATCCTCTGAAAAAAATATATGGCCGGTCGCCGCTGGTCTTTGCCGATCGACTTTGACTTGGTCAAGATCGCATTGAACCCCACTTGTGTCTCTTGATCCTTCTGGATGCCGCTTCGCTTCGAGAATAATTCTATCAGCTTTCTGAGACTTCCTGATAGAGTTTTTGTGTTGTATTGTCAGTGTAGTGATTGGGGAATGTTCCTCAATTTGGGTTGTTACAGCAAATGCAAGTTTGAACAAAATAAAGTTGAGTTTAATTGATGAGTTTTTCAAATTCACTTCGAAGGGTATTCAAATTGATGTTTCAAATGTTGGGTTTTAATTTTCAAAGAGATTTGTTTCTAATTTACATATTGGCAACAGCGCCTAGAATGCTAGATCGGAGTTCAGGTTAGTAGTATGCTAGAAGAAGAATAATCATGTCAATAGTGTCAAATTAAGACAAAATATAAATTATAGTTCAATCCCACCTCTACAAGCCACATAAACAACAGTTGTTTTGTTATTTATTTATATAGAGGAAGATAGGTTAGGTGCACAAAATGTCATATGTCACAGAATGACTCGGAACACGGAACATAAGTGAACAGAACAGCACGCCTCTGAAATATGTCATCTTTGTTTGTCTCATACAGGTAACAGATTCATTGTCCTTTATTAGCTATAACCGATGTTGCCAAATGGTGAAATATGATTCTGATTTCTCAAATCAAATCGTCTTACTCACTTCGTTGCTATGGGCGCCTGGCCTTGACCCAAGCTGATAGACTGGAATCTGGCATTCATTTTGGCCGTTTCCGCCAGCTGCAGTAAGCTAGCTGTGGGATCGACGCCTGGCGATAAGACAAAGATCAGGGGAGTTTGTGGTACGGATTCCTCGAGCACGGCTTTTATGTCCAAAACAGGCGGTTCGACAAACTGCGGTCCCAGCTGATTCACGATAAAATTCGTAATGGAAAACGATACCCGATCTTGGCGCAAGGAGCGGATGAACAACATCTTCTGGAATTCGTTGCAAATTCCCTCCCACTCACCTGGAAATTGTCAAAATTCAATAATCTGAAGAGGTAGTACAAGAGGATAGCCCTAGATAACTCTAGAAGTAGATAAAATCCATAAATGGTTCATGTTCATCCAACTAATTAGTAAGTAAAATATCCAGATGAATAATTTATGTGCTCTGTCTTTTCTTGAACCACTATTCTTGAGTTTGAAAGAATAGAAATGTCAAGAGAAAGAGACAAAAAAGCTTGGTTTTAAAATACCGTATTGAAGGGATTTTTTTAACAAAGTGATATAATTGAATTCTTCCATGGACCAGTCCTGAGTGAAAGAATAAGGAATAGAAATGGAAATCATGAGCTGAAAAATTTGAACTGTCAAAGTTTTTGTGAAGTTAGTGAAATGTATTTATATAAATCCCCATTTCAAACCATTTCAAATGATAATGGCCTCTTATACAATCTGATATTATGTAGTTTTATGTTGGCATGTATGAATAGATTGTTATATTCTACGATTTCATGCAAGGATGAGTTCCGAAAAAAATTAGAGGGCTAGTCTTTTCGAAAGACGAATCGACTATGCACATACGACAAAATATGTCGGTCTCACTTCAATTCAAGAGTAAAAAGCAACACAATGATTTTGTCTTATGTAACATATTCAGTATAATAGAAAAACAAGGAGATTTTTCAAAGGGCTGTTCAAATCCTTAATAATTTCTGCCAATGTTTTGAAAAATCGATCAAAACTAATCAATACTGAAGTCATTAGAACACAGTATCACCAAACGATATTTTCACTGTCGCGTAACTAACCCAATAGCGGTAAAGTCTCAGGCTCCGTATGAATATACCAATTGTACCAATCTCTGGAGTACTGTTCGAAAGTATCGATGACGCCATGGAATCCCGCTAGTTTGTCCAACTCCGTAATGTTATCCCATGCAATCTCAGTCAGCCAATCTACAACAAAAAAGAAACGATACTCGCCCTTCACTGTCACTTATCGATATATCACATACTCGGGCAGGGGTTATCTATCTGATTGGTCCTATCTAAGACGACGCCACCTTTGAGCAGAAAATTGTATTCTCCCGCGACGATTTTTCCCTGGGCGCTCAGTATTTTGATACACATGTGGAATGCGAACAGCAACTTGTGTTGCTCGAACAGGGCTCGACACGTGTTCCTGATGAAGAAATCAAGTGTAACAGGGAAACAGTTCAGAGAATGTCAACTAAAATATCAGAAACTTTTTATATCCTGTCATATATGTCAAGATTTTTAATTGGGGCTGATTATTTGCCATATTAGATGGAGAAAACTGCAGGACATTTCAAAACAACTGTTTAAAAAATATATAAAAAGTGTTTTCTCACTTGTATACGGCATAGGTGTGGTATTCATTGAGGGCACTGATCCTTTCGTTTAAAAACTGTGACTTGGGACTCTTGGTGATGGAACTGATAAACAGAAGGATGTAAGCATCCAGGGCGAACTGATACATTGGATCTATTTTTCCCATATCGTTCAGGACGAAAAATAAAATAGACGCTCGTGTAGCGGAAGGTCTGTATCCCTGAAATAATAGTGGAATATGATCACAAACACTATGGAAGACGAAGAAATTACTATGGAGACATAAACATTTCTGATTTCAGGTTATGAATCAGAGAATATTGTTGGCTGCGTTGATGTTGACGACAAGTTTGTCGTATAGCAAGATGGTGAAGAAACACTAAAGGATTTTCTATTATATCTAAAAGCACACACAGACATGTGTGTTGTGTGTCTTCCTGAGGAACTCAATCACCTTAAAAATGCCTTCAAAGGAAATGGGTACAGCAAAGAATAATTTGAGCAGGCCATACATCCCAGGAGAGAGAACGACAAAGTAATTCCTGCTGAGCTGGTCAAGGGAAAAGCTTGCCTTCAATTCAAATATACTTTATTGTCTGAAGAATACATTCTTATTGACCAAACCTTGTGCGAAATATAAATTACATATAAATGAAATCATAAAAGTATCACAAAAATTTTTAAGTTTTAATTTTGTTTTGGAGGTTAATTTGCTAGTTGGTGTATGTATCTCTCTTTGACACAATTCTTATCCTTCAAGTTCCCACTCCTTTTTTATAGGAATCGAGAAATTTAACGTCAAAAATTGCATCCATGATAAATTCAGTTTCTAATGGGATATTTCAAATGTGATTCAAAAAACTCGCGTAAATAAAAAAATGCTACTGGAGAGTAGTAACATTGTTGATGTTGCAAAATATCATTTCTCTATCTCATTGGAGACTCATGGAATGGATTTCATAAACTAGGAATCGTTAAAATCTGAACCAAGTGAACAAAATCTACTCACTTCTCTGGCAGAATCGATCTGCACCTCAGTCTTCTCAGATATCGCCAAACTGGCCTTGACAGTTTCCGAAGTCGCCTTCGACGTCTGCAAAGTGTTGAACAGCTCAGCGTCTTCTAGCAGCGATCCTCTGGTCTCGTTCAGCAACCGCAGTAGCTCGTTCTCCAGATCCTGAAGCGTCCGCTTCCCTTCAACCGAAAAACCAGTTCAAAACTCGTTCTAAAATAAACTAACGCGTCCGAAAAACCTTTCGCGATCGAAGTCACCAGCTGATCCTTCTGTTCCTCGAGCTGGGGCTTCTCCTTCCTGACGACGATGCCCAGAAGCTGAGCTTCGAGGCCTTGCTCCTTCACGGCGAAGTTGACCAGAGTTGTCCTGGTGGATATTTCCGGCGGGTAGTGGGGGTTCGTCATCTTCGTGGTGATGAAGAATCTGAAATTCTCGTGGTACGACACCATTTTGTCTTCCAGCTTGATCAGGAGTTCTCCTCCTTGCTTTATCACAGCTTTCGACAATATCGGGTCAAGGGAGGGGTCGATCGATTCCGAAATGTTCTGCAAGAGAACCGGTTTTCCTTCTCGGACTGCTTTTTCGACGATGTTCATGTATCCTGTCATTCTCAAATCTATTACCTGGAATACAAGTCAGTCAATGAAAGCAGATATCATTAATCATTGTTGCTATTGATCCCAAGAAAACTTTGAACATTTTTGTGATTACGTAATGTGTGTATATCTTGTTTTTCTCCTTGGAAAAGATAGACACTTCTGACATAAATCTTGCATAGGTAATTGCATTCAAACAACAGTGTTGTTTACTTAAAGAATGTATAGATGACTTTTCACAGTGTTTTGCACTGGTAATCAATAAATCTGTAGAAATTGGTCAATTTCCCAGTATATTAAAATTAGCCTTAATTATCCCTGTTTTCAAAAAAGGGAATACTCTAGACATAAACAATTATCGATCTATTTCTTTACTGAGTGTACTCTCTAAAGTGATCGAAAAAATAACGACCAACAGACCTAGCAACTATCTCAATAAATTCCACTTATTAACCCCTTCTCAAAACAGTTTTAGAGAAAAATTCTCCACCGAAACTGCTACAATTGAACTGATACAATTTATTGATGATGGATTAAATAGTAGATTTTGTGATAGGTATATTTTGACACTTTAAACATCACTTTTGTGGAAGAAAAGTTGGAAAAACTTGGAATACGAGGAAATATTCAAAACTGGTTAACTTCATATCTATCTGACAGGAAACTTATAATGAAAGTTAATAATGTGTTCCTCAGAAAAGAACATCGTACTAGGAACACCGCAAGGTAGTGTTCTTGGCCACATGATCTTTCTTCTTTATATAAACGATTCAACAAATTTTATATCTCAAGGAAAAGCTTTCTTATATGTTGATGACACGTCCATTATATGTAGAGGGAAAACACTTGATGATACAATTAATGCTTCACGTGCTGTCATACACAAATTTGAGTTATGGTGTTTCAGAAACAGGCTAATTATTAATTATGATAAAACCGTATGTATGTTATTCAAATCTAAAACAAATTCAATCGATTCAAAAAATGTCAAAATTCACATAAATAATCACGAGCTGAAAATAAGCGATGAAACAAAATTTCTGGGAGTCACCCTAGATGAACTCATTGCTTGGACTCCACATATAAATAAGTTATGTTCTCATTTGAGTTCGTCATGCTTCGCCATTAATACATTAAAATATGATTTAGACAAGGAGTATCTGATAAATGTGTTCTACGCATTATTTTATTCTAAGATTGCCTACAACAT